AAAATCATCTTAAGTGTTGTCTTAAGACGCTAATACGGCTCTGCGATTGGTTCCAAACACATTAAGAGTATATTTAAGATGATGTTAAATACATATTGAAGACCGTCTCGAATTTATCTAAAGATACTGCGTGGAACACTTTATTGGCTATAGAGTATCTAAAGATGATCTTATGAGGATCCCAAAGTTATTTGTTTTATTGAAAGATTCGAGTAGTTTTTGCGCTGGTAAATCTTTTCATTAGCTTTTATGCACAAAATAATGCCAGGATAAGTTGCGGACCGCATAGCAGAACATTTTCATACTTAAAACACTCCGGTCAGAAGTCTAATGAAAAAGATATTGGTATTTGATATTTTTTAACCGTGAGCAATTTGAAATTGGCTTTGTAAAATTACGAAATTCTTCCACACAATTATAGTACGCATAAAAACAAAGCGGGGGGTTCACGATTTTATATAAAGAACGTAGAGAAATTAAACATATCATGTGAATCTGTCACCTAACCTAGCCACAATTACTTATAAAGCGATATTTTAAATTTCTCTTCGTTCTTTATATAAAGTCGTGAACCCCCCGCTTTGTTTTTATGCGTACTATAATCGTGTGAAAGAATTTTGTAATTCTATAAAGCCAATTTCAAATTACTAACAATTAAAAAATTGAAAATTTCAAGCACCAATATCTTTTTCATTAGACTTCTAACCCGAGGGTTTTAAATATGAAAATGCTATTCGCAACTTAGCCTGTCCTTATTTTGTGCATAAAAGCTAATAAAAAGATTTGCCCGCGCAAAAACTATATTCGAATGTGTCGATAAAACAGATGACTTTAGGACTCGATCTTTATGAATACCGGAATCATTTCGTCCATCGCTGTTCTTCGGCGAATGTTGAACGAGGACGAGTAATGCTGTCGATGTGTTAAATTCAGGATAAAAATAATTTATCGGGATTAAATACGTTTGAATACTTTTTAAAGCGACGTTTCGACCGTAAGGATGTGGTCCTTTTCAAGCAATACTTGAAACTCACAGTGGCAATAATCAAAAGACCTCAATCAACAGCTACATTTAACAAAAATTAAAAACGGACAAAAATATATAAATAAATAAATTAATATTAGTAATTACATATCTACATAAAAGTGTGTCATAAGATAAAAACGTTAGATGGAAATCACGTCGTTACATTAAGCCAAATGCCAGAGAAGTCAAAATATATAAAAACGAGACGAACGAGAAAATAAACAAAACAAAGAAAAATCTAACAATAAAAATAATGATCGTGGCATTATGACATTCTTATCGACGGTCGATCATCGAGTCGCGTGGCCGATGATATATTCGTATTTCAAGATTACATGTATTATTCACATATTGTTTTACATTAATCTTTTGTTTGCGTACGTAAATAAAATAAGCAGGGTAAATAATAAGTTTTCATTAATATGTATATTGATATTAAAAATACCTTAATTAAATTGTCGATGGCGTGAACGACGATCAAACGCCATTTCGGGGAAACACGAAATCGCCAATCTAATTCCGGTCGACGTAGGCCGGTATTCATTGTCGGATCTTATATTCAAAACCACAAGTGCAGTCTTGAATTCTATGCGAATGCCTACCGACCGACGGTGAATGTTTATTCAAATGGCGTAGCGTTTATTGATGCACCTATATCGACCGTCCTGAAAGAAATTGATGAATAATTAATATCGAGCGTATATTCTCAATCACGTATGCGCGCTTATTAACGTAATTTCATGGAATAATTTCTACGGCGATCCAATTGGGATTTATTTCGACAAGCGGGTGAAGCGCGCGCGATAAACGGAGCCGGAATTACGTGTACATGTGTATTACATAATAGGACCCCGTGCTGCAACAGTGCCGGCCGCTCTATCGCGTGCGCGCTCGCAACGAGTCGCCATTATCGCTAGTTTCGCCGGCGACCGCGACCCCCGTGGCATACGATTCAGGAGAGGATTCCGCTCGCCGTACTACATGAGTCAGCTGTTCAGCCGCGTTGTTTCCGTCAACGGACGGCGATCGACGTTCAGCTGTTTTCAACGAGGCTTCCGCGTATCGTCGCAAAAAATGGTTATCGCCGTGAGTATATTCCCTCGGCCTCGTTATCTTCCGTCCTTCCGTGCTGATCGCGCTCTGTTAGATCTCGCTTCGTGACGCGTCGCGAACCGGGGATAATGCGCGATTTAAGGGTGCGTTCCGCTTCACGTATGACGCGCACAATGCGTCGCCTATCCTTGGGGCTCGATTAAGCATCTTTTCCTCTAGCGTGAACTCGTGAAAGGTGACAAATTTCATTGAAGAATTCAATATTCGTCAATGAAATTTTTACACTTCACGCGTTCACGCTAGAAAAAAAGATTCACGGTCTTATTTAACATCTAATCTAGTGGATAACAAGGGAAAATGATGCATTATGCGCAGCGTGAAACGCAACTCATTCGGACATTGTTTCTTCGATTTATCCAAGCACGTCACATTGTGCGATGAATTACATTATTTAAGTAGACAAAAAAGTGAATGTCACGATTAAGGTAAATTTGTGCATAAAATGTGGATTTGCGATTGAAATTTGTGACGTACGCAACATATGTGCATATGTATGTATTTTTAAATTGCTAATCGCTGATTGACGTTCTCATACCCGGCGGAGCAGATAGATTGTCGAATGTGATAAGTGCTATCTTGTATAAATAGAAATATTTATGATATACTCACTTAAAGACAGTGGATTAGTTAGACATGATTTTCAAGGTTGGAGACAAATTGCCCCAAGTGGACCTCTTTGAGAACACGCCAACGGACAAGGTGAATCTAGCGAATCAGTCCAAGAAAATCATAGTGTTTGGTGTGCCGGGTGCATTTACGCCTGGTTGTTCAAAGGTAAAGAAAGAAGAGTAACTTTTCAGTAATTTCTAATGTCACCTAACAGTTCCACATCTTAGAGAAATAAAATGAAAAACCTTTTACACATTGCTCTGGAACTCATTTTAATTTTTCATGTTAATGCAGCCTTTTATTTAGCTATTACGAAATTAAGTAAAACTTTTATTTCGATGAACTTTTGCGATTATACATAGACTACGTTTCCACCGAGGGTTGGAGTCGGGTCAGAATCACGTTGGGGTTTGGTGTTTCCACCGCAAAAGCGCTCACCCCAACCCGATCTGACCCTGATTCTCGGTGGAAACATAGTCATACGGTATGTATGTACATATGTAATAAGATACTGAGTTTTCGAAATAATTGGTTCAGTGCGATTGTAATTGTGACTGATTTAATTGTCAATATTACTTTTCAGACTCATTTGCCAGGTTACGTTTTAAAAGCGGATGAACTGAAGTCTAAAGGAATTTCAGAGATTTTCTGTATCAGTGTTAATGACCCATTTGTCATGGCAGCTTGGGGAAAAGAGCATGGTGCAACAGGAAAAGTGCGTTCATTTGAATATTTTAAATCTATATTTTAAATCTATATCAAAATTGGATCTTACACGTTATCGATAATTATTACATTACCATTTAAATTTCCTCGTACTTTTGTGATTAAGTTAGTTTTTAGAGAAATCGTTTCTACTCTTAGGTACGAATGTTAGCTGATCCTAAGGCGGAGTTTACAGACGCCATTGATCTTGGTATGGATTTACCAGCTTTAGGAGGCAAACGCAGCAAACGTTACTCGATGGTTGTTGAAAATGGAAAAGTGAAGGAAATCAATGTTGAACCGGATAATACCGGTCTATCCTGTTCCTTGGCGGATCGCATTAAAGTTTAAAAAAAAAAAGAGCTATCCTATTTCCTTTTTTTCATTTTTTTAGGGTCTTCAACATGCGTGTGTATGTATATATATCAGCAGAAAGAATGTTCGTGTGATAGACAAGACAAGCTTGTTGCACCATCAAAAAGAGGAAAGAAGGGAGGGTCACCTACTTGGCTGCATTTGGAAAAGTTACCCGAGTGCTCCTATGTATCATTTTATCCTTGTTTCGTACTTTGTAAACAACAAGGATAAAATGATACATGATGGGGCACTCGGGTGATGTTCCTGAATACAGCCCTTGTTTGTTGTACAGTCGGCAATGAATTATTTCGCAAGAAGAGAAGTGACTTTTTCTCCACTTTCTCCATAAGCCGATCGACGAATTATCAATGAGTGAGGGAACAACAGTTCCTCTCTCGTGAAACAATTCATTGTCGGTTAGTGTATGCGTGCGAATTCTCACACATATATTTCTGCCAATACATATATTATTATAGGCTGCTTTTCTTTTAGAGAACACAATTGACATTTTTGATACAAATCGACTCTTGTCGTTTTTCATTTAGAATTTAATTTAAACTCAATCGACATTTTTCGACTCTGTTCGGGAGGAGAGTTGGAGTGTTTTTGAACCGAATAAACGCATCTGCTCTGAGTATTTCGATAGAATCTTTTTTCGATAAAGCTTTTCTTAAATTCTTGTTTTTTAAATCTTGGCCATTTCACAGTGGCAAACTGTGCTCGAGTGTGTTAACTTGTGTCGAATTGTATCTCCTAAAAGGAAAGCAGCCAATATTAACTTTTATTCCTCAACCGTAGCGATTCTACTTTTAAAACGAAGAATCGGTTGTATTACATTATGCGTTTAGTTAAATCTTTGTATGTTGCGATAAAAATATTTCTATGTGTGTATCTATAACTTTTTTAAATTATTCGTCTTCTGAAGATATCAAGGAATTTTACAAAAGTAGTTACTTGAGCGCTTAATAAATCTAAGTAACACATAAATTAAAATATCAATTATATAATTATACATGTGTTCTATAATTTATGAAGAAAATTAATTAAGTTTATATTGTATGACAAAAGTTCATTAATAAAGAGATTTCAAAACAATAAAAATTTCAAAAAGAAATACTTCTATTCTGATAACACTTATATTGATTATGCGTTAGGTTTTACATAAATAAAAGATGCTATTAAATAAATTCTAAGAATCAGGAATCACAAGAAATTTAATAATTCATGATATCAAGAAATAGTAAAAAATGTGCAAAATATGAATAAAATATAAATTGTAAACAAAGGCCATGACTTGAAAAGTAGATAATTTTGTTACTCTAAATATACCTAAATGGACAGAACTACATGGAGTATTATAAAGTTCCTCGACTATCGTAAATTTACAACCTATAACAACGTTTTGATCTTCGGTTGTAGTAGTGATATTTACTAAGTACGCTACATCTTTTCCTATTAAACAGCAATTGCTAGAAAATTTGATTAAAACAATAAAATCTGGCAATTCTATTTTGGAAATATTTAAATATAATATTTTATAAATTAAATATTTTATAAACAAATTTTTTTAATTAAAAATGTAAATATAATTTAAATATTTATATTATATTTAACATATTGTATTTTTTTAAATATTTGCGTTGTCACTAGTTCTCCCACAATAACTCATTTCCGCATAGCGATTACTAATTCGTTCCAACGGTCTGTTGGACTTCTTTAAGGATGTATTGGACGTACAATCTTAGACAAAAGTGCATGAAATTGGAAATACTTAAATATCTACTCTTAACGCATAGTAAATCTAGATGTAAGAAACTTGAACGATAGTTGGAGTCTTATTTGTATTCCTACAAAGGTATTTTTCACTTTACAAATGTCTTTTCCTGAATTATTTGCGATTTTTTTCACTTGTGAGCCTAAACTTTTGATAGTGAAAATACTCTGATTTCAATTCTTAATAACGTCAAATATTTTCAAAACTAAAAAATTCGTGCCGACAGCACGAATATCTCAAGTTATATTTTATTACATTTTATTTCTTTAAAACGGTGTAGTAAAGACTATTGAAACTTGGTAGATATTTTCATCTATTCGTATAATAGATGTATAAAAAAAATTCAAAACACTGGTACTATTTCTTCTACATTTGTTTAGCTGTTTTATCCGTGAAGATCGGCTTTTCCCATAAGAGTACGTGTAAAATCAGTGTAAATTAAAATAGTTATATCTCAGCAACCGTTTAGTGGATGCATTTTTACTTTTCTGCAATAAATTAGAAATTCTGAAAGAACAATTTCACAAATTTTTAGCGAGTTTGTACTATTTTGAAGATAGGTCCGATACATCCTTAACATAGATTTCAAATTTTTCAAGAAGAACACGGAACTCGGTTGCCTAAATCTTGTAATGCTCGTGATCTTGCAAATTCTCACGGAATAAAAGATCTGATATCTAGAAGAAATTTGGAGATATTCTCTATTTTTTGATATGTTAAATAGCTTGGTTTTAAAGGACCACTTAACCATAATTTTACAAGCTTTTTTATAACACCAATATACATATATCATATGCATATAATCTAACGGAGCCTAGAGATATCATTTCGAAATTTTTAATATCTAGTAGTACAGAACGACCGAGATGATACCCTTCTTGATCTTGATTACGAAAAGTACCATCAGTTCTATTTCGACAATAAATATCAGGAAAAAACATTTTGTTTGCAATAAACTCATCTTGGTTATACTTTTGTATAGTTAAAATAGCCGCGGTATAACCTTTTTAGTAAGCGTGATAAAAGATTTTGCGGGCGCATTGCATATGTATGATGGGATGTATTAACAAGACTAAAAATTTTATTCCTTTATAACCCAGGTAGCCAGCTGACGAAAAGTTACATCAGTTATCTATTAAAACATTGATGTCATTTACGAATTGTTGTAAAAATTTATTTGCATCGGCTAGATTACTTTTGCCAAAATAACAACCAATAAGAAATACTTTTTCATGCAATATAATTCGACCTAAAATTGGTCATAATTAATTTGAATTGTAACGTGATATCGGAAAGCCATCGATACCTGTTCGAATCTTAATAGAAGTAGAAACAATTATATCCTTGTTCGCTGACAAAAATGAATGACACTTCGTTCAATACCAAGGTGATATGTATACCAAGGTACATATTGTTCAAGAAACATATTCCTAATAATTGATGAGCGTGGTGTACATAACAAAGTTTTTGCACATTTCAGTAAACTGAACAAAATGTGATCTTCTTACAGTCAAGGTGCGTGTTTTGTGTATATTCGAAGATTCTGGTTTTTCTTTTCTAATCTTCGAACCCTTGGCCGTGAACAACTTATGAACAAATCCGTTTCCTTCAGTTATACACTGAAGTTCAGAGTTTATTCATTCTTAAGATACTTTTAATTGCCAGAAACAAATTGTTCAATAAATAATGTTAATCTTTAATTGCTAAGATTTAATTTCTTTTTTATATACCTCAGATTGATCCTTGCAAAAACTTCGTCACTGAATATTATACACAGTTCCTGTATGCAATCTGTAAATTTTTAGCCTTAAAAATTGTAGCGGGTATTTAACGAAATCTGTTCTGACAGACTTGTTTGTTTGGGATTAAAAGAAATTAATAATAATTTTAAAATGCTATGGTACAATCTACTTGTTATTTGATATATCTTATGAATAAGTTATTTAATTGCAGAATAATAATTAAGTAAGAGAATTGTTTTACTGAAGCTAAATTTATGCTAGACCTACATTCATTTCCAAGCTCAAAGTTCACCGTTCATCATTTTAAATACGAGGTGTTTTATACTCGTGGCAGAACCAGTCTATCGTTACGATAAGTCACGGAGGGAATCGTGACGATACTGGGATATTATAAGTAAAATAAAATAAGTTAATAAGTTAATTAAGAAATATCAATATATATACTATTAAACTATTTATATTTTTTCTACAATGGTTTTCGTGGAAATTTACAACCATTTGTTCGTAGAATTATCCTGTAAGTATTCTTATCTTTTTAATTTTATCCTAGTATACCTAGCTTCTATAAGTATACGGTATTAAGAAAATTTAACAAAAAGTCTTAAAAATAAACAAATCTATATTAATATAGCAATTTGGTTATAAAACTGTCAAATAGAAATAAAAGTTTGTATTACATCGTATTTGTAATATCTTATAAATATGTGTATGTACTCGCAATTCTATTAATATTTTGTAATAAACTGTTGTCCCCGATTTAGGGGCACAACAAAACAACACATAGTCAATGTCACTTTTAAATACAAAATTAACTTGGAAAATTGCGAGAATTTAGGAAGAGTGTATAAAGTTTCCGTTGTCATATTGTCATAACAAAAGGTTTTATTGAGAGGAGATCGTGTAAAAAGTAGTTAAATTATTTCAAAAATTGTATTTTTTCAGACTCACAAACTCGCGAATGGCTATTCCTGTCCTCGCCGTTGCCATTATTGCTGATAACTCTCGCATATTTGTATTTCATTTATTATGCTGGTCCTCGCTACATGAAAAATCGTCCGCCATATAAATTAAGAACTGTTATATTAATTTATGACTTAATTCAAATTCTGATAAACTTATGGAGCGTAAAAGTGCATATGTCTGCTGGTTGGTCATCAGCTTTAGGAGAAATACGTATTAATTCAGATTGTGGCAAGAGATACGCAGCCGTCCTTGATGCAAATAGAGTACTTATATGTTCACGATATAATAATTACAGTAAAAATTATCAATAAGTGACAATGCTGATGTAAAAAATTGCATTATTAAGTACTAATAACAAATTAAATTTTTAATTCGTAATTATATTATTTTTAAAGAGAAGCAAAAAATGTTCTTTTAAAAAAATTATATTGATAGACATTGGACAGATTTTACTTTGTAAGTATATCTATATCTTACATGTGACCTTTATGTTTCAGCTGTTTGAGGCATCATGGTGGTTAATTTGGATTAAACTTTTTGATTATATCGAAACCTGCTTATTTGTATTGAGGAAAAAACAAAATCAAGTCTCTGTTTTGCATGTGTATCATCATATATCTAATGTAGTGACCTACTGGTATTATTTGAAATACGTTTTGGACGTAAGGAGTACGTATATACAATGGGTAAATGGTTCTGTGCACGTAGTCATGTACATACACTATTTCTTGTCTGCATGGAGTCCGAATGTCCAACGGATGGTATCTTCCTTTAAACCAATTCTAACTATAATACAAATGGCAAGTACCTATATAATTATTTATAATTAAATTATTCATATGCAGGGTTGGGTAGTGTCTAAAAAATAAAAGTTAAGTTGAAAAGTTAAAAGTTAAATAATTAAATAATTAAAAGTTAAAAAGTTAAATAATTTTAACTTAACTTAGATACATAGATTGTTAACTTTCAACTGAATTTTCTTACATTTTATCGATAACTTTTAACTTTTAAAGGAGCTGTGACAGGGTGTTAGTGTCTAAATTTTTTATTACGAAATTTATTACGAAAAAATATTACCTCGGCCGGGGTTTGAATCTGGACCTCCCTCTCGCTAGGCGAGCGTCTCAACCAATTCGACCTCCGTAATCGAATTGGTTGGGACGCGGTGATATTTTTTCACGAGGTGATATTTTTTCGCAATAAATTTAGAATAAAATATTTAGACACTAACACCCTGTCACAGCTCTTATGCCTTTTTCTACCAACGCAGTTTAACTTTAATCTCGGTTCAACTTACATTATATCTTTTTCTAGTTTTACGAATTGGAAAAGGACAAGAAATAATTTAAGCCGAGATTAAAGTTAATCTGCATTGGTAGAAACGGGCATTAGTCCTTTATTCCTCCGATTTGTGTTTAACATATTTGAGCCTTTCCAATTTTATTAATTTTTTAACTTTTAATTTACCTCTCTTAAACCATCGACATACAGAATGCACTGCTGATCGCAGTGGTGGGGGTACCCATATACGAGTAGAATGAGAGGCGGATAATGGGGATACGTTTAGCACCGGCAATGAATTTTAGTAGAATTTACACAGCCATTATTGAGGTTTGGATTCTCGAACTCACGTGAAATTGTTCGTAATATATAAAATGGGCCATATTCCATGTAGTGTGATTGAGTGTCCAAACGCTGATCGTGAAATTCAATTCAATTTATGTGATCGCAAGTTTCTAAAATTTTATGTAAAAATAAAACAAATTTAACTTTTAACTTTTTAATTTCTTTTTATTATTAACTTAACTTTTAATTCAACTAACTTATAGTTTAACTTGTATCTTACTAATTGTAAATCAAATTTCAAGGCTGTTAACTGTAACTGAACTTAGTTAAAAAAAAAAACACCCAACCTTGTTCATGTGATATTACTTTTTGGTCTAAAATATATTCTAATTACTTCAATATTTCTGTCTAAATAATACAATACATATTTGTAGAATTTCGTTTGTTAATACTTTTATTTATTTGTGAAATTAGGTTCAATTTATTCTACTATTACTACCTGTACTGGTAGCTATATGGTACAACTGCAAATTTCAAACAGCAATGGTAGCCTTCTTTGTTGTAAATATGATTATATTTCTGTACCTATTTTATGATTTTTATAAGAAAACTTATACACCTAAAAAGAAGAGTAATTAACATTGACAAGCGGTTTTATAGTAGTTAAGCGTATAATATTAATTATATGTATATGTATATTTACATATCTATTTATGGATATGCAGCAGAATATATGATTTATTTTAACAATAAATAAATGAAAAACGAAAAAACTAATGTAATTTATGCGTACTAACTGTTGTATTTTCAATTACAATAACCTGATAAATAAAGCTGCCTATCATCAGGTCTTCCTCAATATTTAAAAGCCACGCGGATAGCCAATCACCTTGCAACTTTTCTGTAAGAGCAGAATTTTCGCATACGTTTCTCCATCGAACAAACTGTGCGAGCGAGAAGGTATCGTCTGCACCGTAATGTTTTCGCACTGAAATATATACCATAAGGCCTGTTCTTTATTACTGCACTACTGAACTAGTGCAATAAGTTAAAATGAAACAAATATAGATTACCTCTCACAGAGAGAAGCCTGAGAGATGTCACGGCCCCGTTTTTCGTGATACTGTGGCGACTTGCAGTTGCCCATCTTACGACGACACAGTCTATGGTCGTCGGTGGCGCTGTCCGAGCGGGAACAGATTATGTTAGGATGTGTTCGAAAATGGATTTAGTTACTGCCAGTGAAAACAGTATAGTTGGTAGCAATGAAAATTACTGGTGCTGCGTTTTTCGCACGCCAGTAAAGTCAGTAAGGCTGGGTCTACATTGGATGTCGTAAGTCGTGTAATGAACTGTGATTGGTCAATTTCTTCCGACACGACTTACGACATCCAATGTAGACCCAGCCTTACTGACTTTACTGG